GTGTGTGTGTGTGTGTGTGTGTGTGTGTGTGTGTGTGTGTGTGTGTGTGTGTGTGTGTGTTCAGATGAGAAGTTGTGTCCTATTAAGCAGACAGCAGAGACTCATCTTCAGTGTTTGACAAATATTAGCAACATAATTGATGAAGAAACACATTAACACTTCACTGATCAGACAGAACAGACAGAGGACATCCTCAGTAGATGGGCAACTTCATAAAACACTACTGTGCAGTAAGTCAAGTCCGCTTAGTTTTCCATTGTCTTGTTTTTAAATTATATGGAGCCATGACACCCATATATCATCTGGACTGATGCCCACAGAGGCTGCTGCAGCTGGAAAGCACAGTTTCATTTTTGGGGAACACACAACAGCATAATCTTTCCCAAGCTGCAGTTTATAAACGCTGCTGCCTGTTGGTGTTTATCAAACATAATAAATAGTTGTGTTTCCCTCTGACTTTTGTCAGAATCAAAGTCACAGAACAGACCTGGAAGTAGCTGGTGAGACACAAACAGAGATGCACCGTCCAGCTCAGTCAGAGAGACAAACAGAGAGTGATGCACTGCACTGCTTACACTTAGCTTACTGTTATTTACTGACATCAGACTTATAGAGAGTTCACCTGATTGTTGTTCTGGCAGTTGACTCTGTTTGCTGCAGTTTTTTTTCTCTTTCTGTGACCAGAAGGAAAGTTCAACTTCATCCTCTCAAAGTTGTTAATACTGGCACCCCTCCACCCCCCACCCCATATTCCCAAGAATGCTCTGATGACCTGGTAGACACTAAAAACGGTGATTGTAGTTTGACTGATGTGCTAACACAATTTAAGTTGTAGTTGAAGAGACCATTTGCTGTAATATTTCTGCCAATAATCATAGCGTGAAACCTTGATACATCACATTCCTGGAATACTTTGTCAGTATTTATTCTTTTTACTTTAAATACAGGGCAAGAACCCAGGACCACAGAACCTGTAGAATATAATGTAATCCAAAACCTTGACAAACTATATCCTGTAAAATTACCACTGACAACCAGTGTCAACAATAATTAAACACAAGCTGCATCAGACGATACAGGTGGTCAAAAATCTTCAGGTCTGAGACAGCTCTAACCCCACATCATTGCCCACATGATATTAGAGAACTAGCAGGACTGAGTGAGAAGAAGAATCAAAAGGAACAGTGATAATGAATTATTATTATGAGAATGAACCAGAGTGAGGAAGCATCTTTGTCTTCCCTGACAGCCTCCTCTCACACGACGCCCTACATGCTGAAACACTGGCAGTGACATTTAAAATCCCTGATATGTCACTGCTGCACAGCTAACATGAGAACAAAAGGTAGACCTCTGTTCATACAGGTTGTCACAATCAAATAAAAGCAGATTTTCTGCAGCTGTCAGACTTACCTTGGCCACTTTGTGATTGGCTGCTGTCTCATGTGAGGTATTCTTCAGGCCCTCTTTGAGCTGGGTGATAAAGAGTTCGTAGCCCTCTGTGTTGGACACGTCAATCTTTTCCTGACAGGCTGACAGCAGCTGCTGGGCCTGTTAACACACACAAACACACACCCATTAGCTATAGATGAACACACACACACACACATATATATATATATATATTTGATTGCACTATGGCGTTCACCATCGTATGATGTACTGTTTAGTCTGCAGTCACAAATTTCAGATCTGTTTTCATTTGGTCAGAGGGTCATGAAGGCAGCGGTGTGATTGGACGTGCTCCTAAATGTCAGTGTCAAGCAGCTGTTGTTCACTTACATTCTGTATTTTAACAATGCAGCTGTCTTTGTTGTTCCTCATTCAGAGGATTTTATGTGATTAACCAACAGCAAAGAAGACAATCTGCTTCCTGTTAACACCGGCTCGCACATGCTCAGTGTATGTGAATGGTCATGTATGTATGTGTTTTCAGGTGTGTTAGTCTGGACAGAGATTGTTTTAATTTTAAAACAGTTTTAAAATGAAAACGCAGTAGTGTGGACGTAGCCTCAGGTAGCACTGTGGTTTTGTGGCTGAACAGAACAGCTGGATAGTAGAAAACGGCACAGATCAGTGTGTAGCAGGCTCATACAACTCTGAAGGACAAGTAACTAACTGGGTATGGTTAGACAATAGATCTATCCAATGTATCTATGTCTAAATATCAATTCATCTGTATCACTTGGATGGCAGACAAGTAATAACAATAGTCAAGCACCCACAATCAAAAGGACAAGTACTAGATTAAATCCCTGACACACAAACACATACAAATACAAACCCGCATGCAAACACGCACCCACAAACTGAGACACACTGTATGGGATCAATGCTCGGCATCTGCCACAACCCAAGGTTTGTAAACTGTACCAGGAGAGACAGTAGGATTTGAGAATCACATCCAACAATAAAAATATCTAATACCATCAGGTGTGTCAGGACAGTTTGTACATTTCACAACAACAATCCTTATTTGAGCAGTTGCATGTGATGTAAGCACAAAATGTACTCTTTGTTTCTTCTTCTTATTGAATATTGATTGTTGTGGGTTTTTGTGTTATTGTGTTTTTTTTGTCAGCACTTACTGCCATGTACACGACGTAAACAAACAACATTATGTTCACAGTCTTGTGTCTTGTAGCTCTGCTCCCTGTGAGTGTCCTTGAGCTCTAACAAACACATTAAATACATTCTCTTCCTAATAAAAGTCATTTTAACATACTTTGAAACATGCATTGCTTAAATCCATATCTACTGGCTTTTGGTTGCATTTTAAGTTACTGCCTCCAACTGTAGATCACAGAGCAGTGTGTCACCTGTGCATCCTTGAGCATGTTTGCACAAGATACTAACACATCAGGAACATGCTCACAAAAATATGACTCCAAAGTTCTACAGCTCCACCTTAAGGTTACTTTAGATATACCTTAAAATATTTTAAGGTGGGGGACATCAGTTGGGTAGGTGGTCCTTCAATTTGGCCACGGGTGGCCCAGACCACCTCCCAATGTGGTCTGAGTGATCAGATTAATGCATCCTCACTGCACATGTCTAAGTGAAACGTGAGGGTGGACATTGGAAATGGGCCAAATAGACCATTAAAAGGGTGAAGGAAGAGATGTGACTTTGAATTGAATTGATGTTTCTAAGGACAGTCTACTGAAATACAGGAAGGTTATATGTACTGTTTCAAACTGATTATTAGTCTTTTTTTCCGAAATCAGCAAATGACAGAATAATAGCTGATGATTATAATAACTAAATTATTTTTCACAGGCAGATCACCATCTAACATTACACACTGTGTATCCAAAAACCTCTTACAAAGAAGTTAAAAGAGAGTCTCAGCATATGAAAGCTGCAGCAGGAGGCTACAACAGTTTTTTATTCTTGTTCCACATGTTGTCAAATATGTAAAGACCCAACATGAACACTGTAAGCAGAATACCTCATTACAATAAGCTAATTGATTAAACAGCATTTGCATAGCAGTGATTCTGTCCCAAGCTTTCTGATCCATATAAGAGGTTGATCATTTTTTCTATAATGACAAAAGGCAAACTTTAAAATCAGATGTAAAGAGGAAATGATGATTTTGAGGGGGGCGGGTGCTACCCTCTTCACACTTCAATGCATTTCAACACACTTTACATACAATATATGGTTGAGGTGGATCGGCGTGATCAGACCCCAAACACAAGACTTTGAGTGAGACAACCTGAATATTACCCAGGCGTTCTGTGCTGTTGGTACCAGAAGTGGATGGCTGCCAAATATCGACAATGAGGAGGGAACCTGATACATGTTTCATCTTACTGTTTTATTATGTTTGTTTTAGAACAAGTAAAAGTGCAAGTTTTCTTATAAAGTGTGACTTTGAGACTGCAAAGGAGAAGTTCAGTAAAAAAGATTTCCTCAGATAATAGAGATGGATGCCTTGATGATGCATTGTAAGGCTGTCACTTTTTATTTGAAATTGGGATATTCTTTCAAACATGGGGTGAAAAGTTCATATTTGAGCTGTAATGATCTGTTCAAATGTAGGCTGCAGCCTTTATAAGCACATCAGATCATCAACAGGTGATATGGTTAATAAAAAGAGAGCCGCACTTGATCCAGATCATGTTGATAGACTTGTGCTTCTGGCAAATAATATGAGAAATTAGGTGGGACCGTTAGGCTTGACTATCAGTTCCATGTTTTACCTTGCTACATTTTTAGTTGAAAGGTATTGGAGCCCCCTCGTGTTGTATGTCTTACTGTGTGTTCTATGTTACTGTAGCACTTTTAGACTTTGAGTTTCACTGAATGAATAGTATGGCACGTTTTTAAAAAACGTTTTATTGAGAGCAAGGTAGAAGTGACAGACATAAAGAAAACAATTTAATACAGCCATTAAAAATGTAACATTTGATTGCTGGAAGAATGGTAATAAACTAACGAAAATAATGAATTGTTGTGGTGTTTTGAGGGAGCAGGCGTGAGTACGCGGGGGAGGGGGACGCATTCGAATGAATTGCAGGTCATTTCGAATTCATCTGATATTATTTTTTAGAAAAAGTGACAGCTCTAATGTGTTGTTGTATTTTTGGCCTGCTTTCTGTCTCTTTCCCTGAAGCACTTCATGTTGTTGTGATGTATAAATGTCAAAACAGATGTGAAGTGAAATATTTGGAATTGTCTTTCATAAATCCTTAAGCTGCCGATAAAAAACTAAAGAAAAAGAAAATGAAGAACTGATCAGGTTTGAAGTGTCAGTTTCAGGTGGACTCCAGGTGTCAGTTCAAGTATTAGTATTAAATGAAAACAGATGATATGTTTAACCTTTGCAGAATGTTTATTACAACTAGGGCTCAACAATGTGCAAAAAAAATCATCACTGCAAGGCTCACCTGGTAAATTCTGTAATATGTGGAGACTTTTCTCGGATATGTAGCAGAGGGTCTGGAGTTCCATGAGAACCCTATAGGATAGCAGTACTGTCCTAATATCAAATATCTGCTCTGATTGATTTGATTTACTTATCTACTTACTTTGTATGTGATGGGAGGTTTTTTAAGTATGTATACATTTATTTTGTGTGCTTATTTAAAAAATGTAATAAACAGAGATTTTAAAATAAAAAAAATCTTAATGCAGTTATTTCGGCAATATGATTCAAGATTTTAGTTGGAATGATTGTTTTTGAATTTCCTTTTCACTGAAAAAAATCTAAAAATGATGTTGATGTGATTTTTGCTGGGTCTATACCAAACAAACATGTTCCTTAATGTCTGGAGCAGTGGCGATTGCTCTGCAAGGGAAGCTCAGCTTCCCCTAAAATGTCAACAAAATAAGTGGTCTTATATGTACTGTTGTGTGTACATTTCATTGACTAAATATGCGCTAGAACACGTTCATCTTTTGTTCAGAATCAGCTACTTATCACAGGTAACCGACACGACTTCCTTCTCATTCATCCCCGCAGCGCCACAGAGCTTTACACAGTGTAGACGCCGAGCGTCTACTGACTTCAGTGGGGAAGCACAGAGTGGGTTGTTCCACTGCAGCGAAACTAGACGGTCATTGGATAAATGCTGGGCTTTGTGTCCGCCATTGACTGTCAGCGTTCTGGGGGTCTATGGGGCAGTGGGCTGGCCCGGACGCTCGGCTTCTGCATGATGATTGGATGATCTGTCTGAGGCTGAGTCCCTTTTTGATTGACAGCGAAATGAGCGAATCAGCGATCTTGAAGTATAAGCATCCACCGGAGCATTTTTCAAGTTTTTCATTCTGTTGTTCGGAGTTGATCTGGAGACGTTACTGATCCTCAGCGACTTTGTCTTTGTTAAAAACGACTAGCGTTGTGTTTGGCAACTCTCTTCTGTCACTCTGCAAATTCACATATAAATAAACGGACACATTTTAAGATGTAGGCCGAAAATGAGCTTCCCCTCCTTATAAGACCAGCAGCCGCCACTGGTCTGGAGAATATGATTTGTAGGCCGAGGAGTCTCTGTAGCACCACAACTCTCATGGTGCTAACAATGCTCAACAATGTGACACATTTTACATTCATCAAAAAAACTACAGCTCCTATGATTCAGATATTGCACTGGACCATATTGCTATTTTGATTATATATAAATTAATTGTGCTGCTCTCATTACAGCAATGAAGTTTTAGGTGAAAAATGAGATGAAATTAAAGACATGTGAGGTGCAAGCTGATGAGTAAGAGATCCCAACAGGCCCTGCATTAGAATGTGTCTCCGCGTGTGTCTCAAGTGTCCACTTGTGAACAGATTCAATTCAACTCAACTCAACTCACAGATCAGATCACCTGAGATGCATGTTAATGAAAGGTGTGAACAGGGCCAGAGATGAGTTGTCAGTTATAGTGTAAGCAATAAAGCATTTGAAAGCAGTTCAATTTTCAGTAAATTTTATATCAATGAAATAGTTAATGTGTAACATAAAAAATGCATGGAAAAGCTATTACCACAACAGCTATAACCCTCTCTGTTGGATGCTTCCTGGTGTCTGTGAATAGTGGAAAGCGGCCACAGCACAGCCTTCTCTTACCTCTGTCACCGGCAGCTCCAGCTGAACCATGTCCTCAGGCTTCGCCACTGGAGGCTGGAGAGCTGTGTCCAGGAGCAGGATGCCATTCAGGTCCTTCCTGCATCCCACTGCATAGTCATCCACAAAAAGCACCTTGTCCACTGCAGGAAAGTACTGACATCTGACACGGCCACCAGGTTTAGCTGGGACAGAAACAGAGGACAACACACAATGTCAGGAGGTTTGAAGGAGAAGACAGGTCCAAAAGTGCAGCCTGAAAAACACCATGACAGTTCCATTTGTCTTTGGTGGAGTGTAATCTTCTTATCTTAAAACCTAAGGTATTCACCATGTTTGTTCTGCCATCTTAAACCAAACAAATCAAACCAAACATGTTCTAATTAACAAACCTGACTGGTCATGTTTTACATACCTCTTTACACATTTTACACACTGGTACTGACTGGTAAATGGAGTATTTATGACTCTTAATAGGCTGCCTTATCAAATCATTTCATGATGAACACAAACAAATTCAATCAGTGTCTCAGATAAAAGTGACTGTTGCGTCATCAATGCCACATACTAAGATCAACAAAAACAAATGTGCACTGGGACTGGGTGATCTTATCAATAGTCTTATCGTCCTATTGTCACCTTGTGATATTACCAATACCCAATATGATTGCCCCTAGGAGGGCTGCCATATGTACTGAGTTTAAAACTTCTGGGATTGAACACAGCCACAGTAGGATGATAAATACATTTTATGACTATGTTAAAACTAAACAAAACTGTCATCACAAACAATAAATTATTTACATTTAGCAATCAGAGGATTCACAGTTATCACTCAAAATCAGCATGGGGCCGTACGTACGCTATCAGCACATCCTTAACGTGTACACAGTAAAGAGCAGAGCTGGCTAAAAGCCAACCTGTAAATTCCTCTAATAACAGATGTACTGGACGTAAACATATACATTATGCAAGCATGAAAATATCTGAAATCGTTGTGGCTCTGTGGTGTAGCCCTTCGACTGTTGAGGCACACTCTCTGCATTTCTAATAACTGGAGTTCATGATTTAAGGAAGTGGGTTGCTTTTTTGTTAAGAAGCTGTTTTGCAATGCTTCGCCAAAATAAATCTTCCATATTTCCTAAATTAGAGTACCAGTAACTTGTTCTCATCTTCATCAGACATTTGGAAACAGTAATCTGCACTAAGCATCACGGTTACTGTATCAGTTTTTCCAATATTGACAAAAACTTGGTCATATAGAGGCCAAGTTGTCTTCTCTTCACAATATATTACAGCAGATCACTCAAGTAATCATCTGGGACTCTGTACTACAAAATACCCTGTGGTCCTGGATATCACAGCGACTATCACACAGCCTGTTAACATGAAGTCCTTTTCAGCAGTGAGCTTGTCAGAGGAAACTTCAGTCAAGGATCCAAAAAATGTCAAAATCATCATAAAAAAGAGATGGCATCAAATCTAAGTCTGGATGTGTAGAAAGATTCATTCAGAAGAAATTCTGCCCCACCTACATTCAGGTTCATAGGTTTAACAAGAGTCTTGATCCGAGGGGAGGTGACATCATTAAGCAGTTACTGAACACACATTTTTAACCCTGTAGATCCTGATGGTTTAATAGAACTTCTGGATTTAAATCAATTTTTTTGATGAAATGATATTTGCTCTGTTCTCTGTAGCTACACAGAACTAGTCCTTTTACAGTGAGAGTTGAGGCACACTGTCAGGATCAGAACAGACACAGAGATTCAGCTGGCTCATTACTAGACTCGGTCTAGATCTACGAATGTTCATATGATGAGCATATTCAACTATGTATTTTGAATTTTGTATTTATTTTTGTCAGTGTAGGGGAGACCGGGGATGGTTGTAACACAGGTCAGTTGTAACACTTCCAATTTCCAATCTCCAACTCCAATCAGGAAAAATTCTGAATCACCCGATTAACTCTATAACTGCTCAGTTTAGTCCTTATTCCACATGTGAGTAAGTAGCCCCCTGTGACAGACACAGATTTTGGATGTTTTGGAAGGAAAAACTAATTTTGGATGTAAAAAGGTTTTTTGTTTTTTGGGGTTTTTTTTTTTTACTTTATTTATTTTTGTAATAGTACTGCCTGCTTTGTAGTTAAACTCTTCAAACTTAAAGTAAGCTAGTTCATGTCTACAAGAGTCTGTGATAGTTGTAACAACAATACACAGACACACGAGTGTTGAATAAAAAGCTATAAATATCAAGTTTTTGTCATAATCCTTGTATCATAATGTTACAGCTAACCCAGACTATGAGGGAAATTGTAACATTTCACTCCTTGTATTTGAGACTAAACCACACATTTTCTGTTTGTGTTGCAGAGATAACACCTACACCATTTAACAGCAGACACATGTAACTAGTTTGAATTAAACTGTGAACACACAGACTTAAAAGATACAGAGAGAAATGTCAAAAATGTTAAAAACCCTCCCCAATCTACCCTATTCATGTAGTCATTATTACAAAATTACATGACGGTCACACACCCATGGTTGAACTCAACCTTCATGTTGATCTCAACTTCACATCTGTAAAGTTTTGTGACACTATAATGTTGACAGAATCTGTCCTCAGACAGACAGACATATAAACTGGGGTGATCATTTAGAATTTTTTTTCTGACAGATAGTTCACAGACCATTAACTGTTAACCAAGCCACACTTTATAATGAACAAAAACAGATCAACAAAACAAAAACACACTGTGAAGTTGCATTTTTCAGACCTCAAAATAAAATCAACAGGCACAACCTAGGTCAGTCCTCTGCAGAGCAGAGTCTACTGTCTACTGGTTTTTATTCAGAGATAGCAAGCAACATGCGGACATGCTGTGGGGTTAGTCTGGTCCATAGTCTGTTAGCTCTGAGACCTGCAGCGGATAATACCTGCTCAGATGGTACTGATGTCCCAGGATATTTTAACTGTTCAACTGATAATGTTAATCTAAGTTCTTATTGTCAGTTAATGGTTAAACGGTTTGCAGAGTGTGAACAACACTAATAAAAACTGCCAAAGTACTCAAAACCACCTCTGTGGTAGTTGCTGCTACAGTAGGTGTCTCCACTCCAGGACCACATTTTGTCATGACCATGCACGCACACGCCCACACATGCCCGCGCACACACACACACACACACACACACACACAGTCAAGGTGAAAATAATACCAGCCACTGTCACAGCTGGTAATTAGCATGCAAAGCAGGGAATATATTACAAGCACATATCCAAATTGTTTCTGATTTAATAACAAATTGCTGGTTTTCTCTGAAGCAGTAATATTCAATTTGCCCATAGTCAGTGATTTCATGTATCAGCTGCTGTGCTCTGTGAGCATGGTTAGCAGAGGAGCTGAAGCACTCACGCCAATCTGACAGCAAACTTACACTGTCTGACAGATTTCCATCTGCTGGGTAATTTTGGAACATGAACTCAGTGGGCATAGAAGAGGAGTAAATATGCCATAAAGGCTATGACCATAATGTTGTTTTTTCAAAGGAGAAAAAGTATACCATGTAAATTCAACAAAAATCAGAACTGAAAACCATTCAACCATCCAAACATTATGTCAGGCATATAGACAGCAAAGTACCAATTTTTGCCACCATTTTTCCCAAAACGGATCTGGATATGACATCAACTGGGCTGAACCTTCTAACAACTAACAGACATCTGATGGTGACAGACACAGAGAGCCTCAGCTGAAAATTAACTGAAATTAATTAAATCATGACAGCCTATGGTCGATGATGATGGTGGTTGTAAGACGAAGAGGTGTCTATCTCCTGAAAGCCAGACTTCCCAAAAAAGGCTTGATCTTCAGTCATTTGAAACACTCTTCAGATGGGCTGCAGCATTTCAAACACAATGGCCAATGCTAAATAATGCAGTTTTGCAACTTTACAGTATTTATGTGAGAGACTGCATGTGTAGTAAATACTGTTAAATACTGTTTACAGTTAACAGCCCCACTCACAAAAACTAGGTCACCATAAATGCTTCATATGGAAACAAATGCTCATGAAAATCTGTGTTGCTTTAATAAATGTTAAAGTGTATGACTTTTATTCAGTAATAAACGTCAGAGTGAAAGACCAGACAGCCATCAACTGATTAACAGAATTTAAGATGTAAACAACTCGTACCAAACTACTGTCTATAAGCCAGCCCACCCAACCCAAGTGTATTCATGTAATTCTCTTTCTTATAAACTCTATGACACCTGCTACTATGTGTGAACAAGGAGGACAACCATCAACGGTGCAGTTATCAGGTAAGTGTGGAGCACAGCTTGATAAATATATTGCAAACTCTTGCAGAAACTTTATGTCCTGTACGTTCATCGTGACAGAACATAACGTGCTTACATGCAACACCAACAACACAAGTGTTCAGCTGGTTATTTGACTAAATTATCCATGTCAGCCCAGCAAGCGGAAAAAGGCCCCAGTACACCAATTCTACAACATCAAGTCAGTTTACTTTCAACATCACACCAATGCCTCCAAATGACGGTGCGCACAAGCAGCTAGAGCCGCCAACTAGCTTTATGGCTATAACAGCAATTTACATTAACACATTGTACTACATTAACAAAGCAACAGTAGGTGTGCTACTCCAAGTGACCAACATATGAACCGCACTTATAACGACGTATCGTTATCGTGACTGACCACTAGAAAATAGGAAACTGACAAGGAAGGTTGCCCGGCTGACTAGCATTGTGCTAAGTTATCTAGCTAGCTATTAGCTTGCATGGTAGATATGTCATGTTGCAAATGTGATAAACAGTAAAACATTGGCGCTAAAGAAGCACTATTTTAAATTTAGCCTAAAACAGATCAATGTCCGAATACTGTGTTTTAGCACAAGCAGAACAGACCAACTGAACGGATCCTGTCTGACACATAATCAAACTGGTGTTAGGCCTGAATATAACTTGCTAGGAACAGCTAACGTTAGCTAGCTAAGATTACGACTCAGCCTGTGTCGTGTTTAGTGTCTGTTGACAATCAGTGGTTGGTTTGTCAAAACAGAAACTATTGGTGTTAGGGCCTTATACTGGGCTCTGGTACATACCGTGCAAGGCTGAAGCCTGGAGAATGGCCCCCGAAGTGCCGTCAATAACTTTGATACTGCCGCGGCTGGTAACGGCCAAGATAGCGTTCAGGGCCGGGTGGTAGGAAAGGCTTCGCAGGCCCTCCTCGTCGCAACGCAGGCAACCGTCTCTCAGTACAATCCAGTCTGAGGAGGTGGACGAGCCGGAGCCCGGCGAGGCCGCGGCCGCCATCTTTCCTTATTTTTCCCTTCCCTTCCTTTTTGGGGTTTGTGATGGTCCGATGATACACGCAATACTTCTAAATCTAAAAGACCAGCTCCGAATTATCACTCCGCTGCCACTCCTGACTCCTTCTGCGGCTTCTTCTCCTCCGCCCGTTACCGCAGCAGTGGCTATTCACCATCAGCGCTAAGGAACTCCAGGCTGGGCTCTATGTCAGTTACACGATAGGTACACGGAGCTAGCGTATGTCTCCGCTACCTCCCGCGATAACACGAATTGCAAGTGAGAACAAACGGATGGACAAAATAATAGGAACAACAAAATGATAGTTCTGCAACAAACATCAACAGCAATTACATAATGTTTTGTTTGATTTCATTCGCGGGAACAGATGTCATTATCTAAAAAAAGATTCGTTATGCAACAGTAAAAGAAATGGTGGTCTGGAGGTACTAAGTTTTGATATGTTAAATAATACTTTCAAAATGAAATTGTTAACTAATTTGATGAAGGAAAAAAGAAAATATTTGGAATACGTTCCCTAAACATTTTTTTAATTTGATAGGTTAAATTAATTTTCTGCTTGAATGTGATTATAAAGTTGATAATTATGTGCTTGCGATAGATAGATAGATAGATAGATAGATAGATAGATTATTTATGCCCTAGGGGTTGCTGTGGCATTCACATTATTGTTATTCAAATCTTTATTATTATTATTATTATTAGTGTGAATACTGCAGCATTCACACATTGTTATTCAAATCTTTATATTTTATTCTTACTTCTTCCGCCTTTCTACGGTCGCTAACTACTCCATACTTTTTCGTACAAAAACCATTCAACTACCAACATATTGAGCTTGTTCTGTAGATTATTGGATGTATTATAATTTTTTCTACTATTCTTAATATTCGAAATTTTACACTTTTTCTGCAATTTTTTTGCCATTCAGATTAATGGAGAGAAAGTTCAAATCCTTGAATTTTTTGCCTCTTTAAACTTCATCTACTTCAGCATACCTTCAGCTACAGACTTCATTCAAACTTTAAAATGTTCACAAGACATTCAGCTATTAAACTTGTTTTCAAGTTTTTGACATCTCGTACAGTTTTTGAATTATAACAGTTATAGTTTCATGCTTTTTTCAGATCATTCTTTAGTTAATAATGGGTGTGTATTGCACTGAATTTTCAGGGCTAGAGTGGATGACATCATCACTAGAGTGGGAGAAGCTCTAAAATTTGTCTGACAAAAATCTGTGTAACTCGTCCTTACAGCCACACATTTCAATCTTGACACATCATTTCTTCCTCATTAGTAGACAAATTTGTCCTGTTTCATATAAAGTGACTACCTTAGCAGAGACTAACAGAATTTAAACTGTCACCTCTAAACTGATGGGAGTACCCTCCATCTGTCCCATGGACTGCAATACAAATTCAGGCGTGGATTTCAGGAGAAAACCAGAACTGATCCTTTTTTGTAACTCGCTCCTATTTCTACATTTTTGCCTCCAGAAACACCAAAACCACATGGAGGTGTTCAGGAGAGTCTTGTGGCACTGACCATGTGATAATTTTGCTCATATTGTGTACTGTTTTGTACTCAATGGCAGGAGTTTGAGAGGTTTGCTGACCCATTCCTCCCATAGATTTTTATGAGCTCTGTGTCTTCAACAGCCAGACTCTCTCTCTTACACACACACACACACACACACACACACACACACACACACACACACACACACACACACACATACACATATTGACAGAAACAGCATCGCCACGATTTGGATTAACCTTCAAAATAAAAGTCTCAACATGGTAAGAGGGAATTATTGGCTCTGTTGTACAAAACCTTATGCAATTTATACTGCAAAACATGGAAGACACTTTCAAAATAAGAGTTTCAAAAAGGTAAGGTAGGTAATAAATTTTTGATCTTAGAAGCTATTGTCTATATGGGGATATAGTGGTATAGCTTTATTGCAGATCAACTTCTGTTAGGGTATGTACATAGTATCAGACACAGAACAGTAGGACTCAAAATGCAGAGGCAGGGACAAAGAGAAGGAGAGTTCGGAAGTCGTTTAATTCAGTCCAATTTCAAAAATACCAGGAAATCCAATCCACAGGGCAGAGGTACAAAATCACTAGGCGAGTACTCGGTATCCAAAAGGCAAAACGGGTCAAATACACAAGGGCTATAGATATAGATATATACGTGAAACAGACACTGGACCGCTGACAGGAATCCGACAAGACGATCTGGCACAGAAGGGAAAAATCTCACCACATATATACACTGAATGATAATGAGACACAGGTGTATCACATTAGAGGAAGGGAGGCAATCAACAGGAGGGAAGGAAGTTAGACAGTACAAGGAAGAACACACATCAAAATAAAACAGGAAGTAGACAAGACACAAACGCTAAACCTACCAAAATATATTACAAAACTACCCGGGCCCTGACACATAGACAGGTAGATAGATAGATAGATAGATAGATAGATAGATAGATAGATAGATAGATAGATAGATAGATAGATAGATTGCATGCGTCTCGCCACAACAGTCTTGAGTGAGTCCAGACTCCTGCCAAGCCACAGACCCAGCCTTTTTGACCAGCTTGTCCATTTTCTTTGTGCTCATGTCTGACATGCTGCTGCCCCAGCAGACTGCAGCTTAAAAGAGTACACTGGCCACCACTGACATGTGCAGTATTTCACTGCAGACGTCAAAGGACCTCAGCTTCCTGAGGAAAAAGAACGGCTCTACTCCTTGTGGTAGATAGCATCCGTGTTCAGGGACCAATCCAAGTTACTGTCCAGGTGCACACCAAGGTATTTATTAGTGTGGACCACCTCAATGTCCTTCCCTTGAATGTTGACTGGCTGAAGGGTGGGCCAAGACCTCCGAGAGTCCAAGACCATCTCTTTGGTCATGGAGGTGTTCAGAAGAGGGAAGTTCTTGTCGCTCCATTTACTGAAGGCCACTGTCAGATCCCTGTACTCCTCTTCCTGTCCGTTCCTGATACGCGCCACAATAGCTGTGTCATCCGAGTATTGGATGTGGCAGGACTAACACTTGTATTTAAAGTCGGCCGTATACAGGGTGGACAGGAATGGAGCCAGAACAGTCCCCTGTGGAGCCCCAGTGCAGCTGGGACAGCCCTGAGACACAGTTACTCAGGCTGACATATTGTGGTTGTATTGTCAGGTAATCCACAATCTAGGATGTGAAGCAGGGATCAGCCTCCATCCCTTTCAGCTTGTCTTTAAGAATGGCGGGTTGGATGGTGTTAAATGCACTTGAAAAAATCAAATAACATAATCCTTATATAACTACCTGGCTCATCCAAGTTAGAATGGGCCCGGTGGAGCATGTAAAAGACGGCATCATCCACTGTTCTTTGAAGGCAAACTGTAGGGGGTCTAGTGCGTGTGGCCTGGAGAAACAGCCGCTCCAGGGTCATCATGATGTGTGATGTGAGGGCTATCGGTCTGTAGCCATTTATCTCAGCTGGTCATCCTACTTAAAGTACCGGAACAAGACATGATGTTTTCCACTGGACCAGGACCCTCCCTGTTTGTAGGCTTAAGTTAAAGATCCTCTGGAGAGGCTCAGCCAGCTGGGCTGCACAGTCCTTCGACAGCCTCGGACACACATCATCTGCCTGTTGCCTTTGCAGGACGTAGCCCCTTGAGCTGTAAAGGACAGGAGACTTGACCCCAGTGTGGAGGGAGTTGCAGCTGTAGTGTCAGGTTGTGAAGGAGATGCCGTAGGAGAAGCTGCAGCTGAAGCAATGGGAGAGAGAAGAGGTGAAGCTGTGTCAAACCTGTTGTAGAACAGGTTGAACTCATTGGCCTTGTCCACATCACCTGCCTGGCTCTTCTTCTCTTTATAGCCAGTGATGGTTCTCATCCCCTTCCACACCTTTCTGGTGGTGTTGTGCTGCAGTTTCCTCTCGACTTTCTTTTTGTAGTCCTCCTTCACCTGCTTTAATTTCATCCTCAGCTCATGTTGCAAACACCTGAGCTTCTCCCTGTCTCCATCCCTGAAGGCCTCCTTTTTCTGGTTGAGGGAGGGTCTTGATGTTACTGGTGATCCAGGGTTTGTTGTTTGGAAAGCAGTCTACAGTCCTTGCTGGTATTACAGTGTCCATACAGAAGTTAATGTAGTCCGTGTTACATTCCACCATTCTATCAAGGTCAGGGTCCTTGCTTTTATCATTTTCCTGTGACTCCTACAGTGCATTCCAATCTGTGTGCTCAAAACAGTCCTTTAGAGACTCACTGGCCTCCAGGGTCCAGTTCCTGAATGATTGGGTGGTTGCAGCCTGCCTCGGTACACAGGGCTTGTAGGAAGGCTCAAGAAAAAACAGATTATGATCTGCTCTTCCAAGTGGTGGTAGAGCTGAAGCAGTGTAAGCCTCCTTGACATTTGCATACCACAGATCCAGGGTCTTATTTTCACTTATGGGACAGTCAACACACTGAGTGAAGCCAGTCAGGTGAGAGGTGAGAGTGACATGGTTAAAATCCCCCGATATTGCAATGAATGCATCAGGGTGCTGGGTCTGTACTCTCGCCACAGTCTTGTGAATGACGTTACACGTGACTGCAGGCTCTGCTCATGGTTGAATGTAAACAACAATGGCGACGATGTGTGCGAACTCCCTCGGTACATAGTACGGTCTAAGACCAACTGCCAACAGTTCAATATCCCGACAGCAGATCTTCCCCTTCACTGTGATGTGACCAGGGTTGCACCATCTATTGTTCACAAGCAGAACCAGTCCTCCACCTTTATTCTTCCCACTTGCTCTGGTGTCTCTGTCCGCTCGTACTGCAGTGAAGCCGGGAAAATCCACACATCGGTCGGGAGTGTAGTCATTTAACCAGGTCTCTGTGAAACACATGAGACTACACTCACGATATGCTCGCTGGTTCTTCACAAGTGCCTCCAGTTCATAACACTTGTTAGCCAGGGAGCTGACATTTCCCATGAGGATCAATGGTAGAAAAGGCTTATATCTCCATCTCCTAGCCTTTAGCTTAGCCCAAGCTCTGCATTCATGGTACAGCTTCTTCAGCTCAGCAGGTATGGGATGTTTAACTCCATATCTGGTAAACTTAAAACCCAGGAATTCTTTCGTTGTTTACATTTTTTCAACTGTCAGACGAAACAACGACATAGAATAAAAAATATCTACA